ATTGATTGTGGATATATAATATTGATAACCGTTGCTGTTTAATGTTTATCCATTATTGACCTATTTGTTTCATAAATTTAAATTATAATTGAGACCTGTTTTTTCTCATAAAAGTTTAATTTCTGTTGAAATATTCTATTAAAACGTAGGAAACAAATGGGTCATAATTTTTCTTTTATGGTGTCAATATTCATCATTGTTTTGACTTAAATTTATAACAAAACTTTTGGAGAGAATCCAACAAGATTTCTTTCTTGAACGAGGAAAGACCTGAAAAATCTGTTTGGTCCCTTCTGGCATTTTGTTTTAACGACAAAGGTTGTAGAGCGAGATGCAACAATATACGCATCCCTCCAGATCAATCACATAAAGAAGTACACTGCAAACGACCGAATAGTTGGCAACTTGGTTTCTGTATTTGCGTCACTATTCCAAAGGAAAACAACTGATGAACATGATATTGATGTTTTAGATTAATTTTACATGGATTATTTTTTAGATATTTAGGTCTTCAGTTTTCTTCTTTATTACAACTGTCGGATCAATATATTACGGCTAAAATAACGATACTCATAGATAGATAAATATTTGAGTAGCCATTAAAACCACACCCGTATATGTATATATATGGACAAATTTTAAATGGTTACATTTTCATGGTGGTTACCCCATTGGATATAGAAATTATATTTGACGATGTAATGTTATAAAAATCTAATTTTATTAATTGTCATAATTTTTTTTTTTTTTTTTTTTTTTTTTTTTTTTTTATGTTTATAACTAATTATATAGTATTATATGCAGGATAAATATATTGGATTGGATTGGATTTATTAGATTTTCAAAATTTGAATCCAACATCCAATCCAATCCAATTGGAGAAGTGCAAAAATCATTCAAATATGATCCAATCTACCTACTCTGTGGGACCACGCCTAGAAAATGAACAATCCACTAAGTAAACATTGTTATAACTTAAATGGACTTAATCAACCCGAGACTCTTTCTCTAAGTATAATGCCTATGAACTTGTAACAACCCAATACACTTGCTCATCGAGAACAACTAGACTTAAAAAAAACTGCACGGTGAATTCTCTTCGGCTGGCGGTGCGCTCTCTCCGAAACCTTCAAATTCTTCTCCCGAAAAACATTAGTTGAATTCCCTTCAACACTTCAAATCCTCTTTTCGCTATAAATTTTACTAGCGAAGAATGTGAAAAATAAAGACTCACAACATGAATTGACTCTCTGTAATTCTGAGGATCCAAAGGCCAATTGTGATAATTGTGAGACTCCAAATATATAGCCAATTCGTCCAAAGATAAAAGCTTCCAATCAAATCCATTGCAATCAGTTTGTTGCAGATTCTGTTGCAACAATTACTATAACAGAGTTGTCAAACTACTTTAAAAGTTAACTTACTTGATTCTTAAAATTTTCTCATATAAATGCAGTATGATCCTTGCAGAATACAACCAAGCCAAATTTCCTTTGCAAATCAACCAACTCATCAAAATTCAACTTTCTGAAAACATATAAAAGTTGACTTCAATCAAATCAATCCAATGAAATAGTTTCCTTAAATGCTTGTTGCAAATTATAGTTTCCTAAACATATTCCATCAATCATTAAAGTTGTCAAAATAGCCATAGTTGACTCATCAAAATAGGAAACCAGAGAAACAAATTTCAATCAAAACTGATTCTTTCCAAATGTAAAACTTGCAGCATATCAATCTCCAAGAATCAAATCAATTGCTGCAAATTATTCTCCAATCAAATCCTTCAATTTGCAAAATAATGCCAACAAAAAAGCCCAACATATTTTGACCTCGCTCCTGTGTATGTGGTTTATTTTATACATAGACCTCTTGCAAACGATGAGAAATTTCATAACGGCTATATCTCACTCCATAAACTGCATCACATCATAACCACCCCTTAAGAACTCTTCCATCTGAGCTCACTTCACAACGACTCATTATTATTATTATTTTTTTTCTTTTTTAGGCTGAATATGAAATCTTTTATTGAAACTACAAAGGTGCATTTTGCAACTCTTTTCACTACAAAAATTTGGAATCCACCTAAACACCAATTGCATCACACAACCTGGACTTGGCTAAAACAGCATAGAACGAAGGCAATATCTGCCAAAATCTCAGGGCATCTCTTCTCAGCGAGCGCATCAATCACAATTTTAGAATCTTCCACCACAGCAAGAGGTCAAAAACTCCTACTTGCTTTGCTTTGTTGTACGCCAATTAGATACGAATATAATGGATGCAACAGGAGTTTATGCATACAAGACAAAGTCAACTTTAAATAGGCATTAAAACTTTATTGTCACTGTTTTACATGTACGAATAAATTTCAAATTCAATATAAATATAACATCAATTTCAATATCAACAACGTTTAACAATAATTACGTGGAACAAAACAACCAAGGCATTGTTATTTTTTTTCTTTACTTGATTAATTATTGTTTTGTTGTTAACTTCCTTTTGTTAATATGAGTTTACGACAGGTAGACCAGTACATAGAAGAAACCAATAAAGAATTAAGAAATTGAAAATGACCTCTGAAAATTTTTCACAAACACACAAACTTTTTATTTACTTTAAATGATTGTAATACATCCACATTATTATTAAAAATTAGAGTTTGAAACCAAGACTGGAAGTGCTTCTAATTGGGACTATCTCAAATAAAGGTTTTAGGCTTCTTATATGGGCTTCAGACCTCCTCCTATGTTGCTTCTAAATCGATGTGGGACGAGATTGATCTCTTTTTATTTTGCTAAAAGTCACCGCTGAAACTTTCCGAAGTAAACTTACAGCATACCAAATCGAAAGTTGGTAATATTGCTCATCAATCTTGCGTGAGATAACTTACTTCATGATCATTAAGTTAATTCAAGATCTTGAGCCAAAAAAGTCGATCCCTGATGATATTGGTAGTAATCTTTGGCGGCGATTCTTAATACTTATCTCCTTTTGCAGCTTCACAGTTCAGATATGTACCATAATCACAAGTAGTACAGCAGTATACCCAAGTACTACAGGAATTGCACTATTACATGCACAACAAACTAGTCCATCGTAGCTTACATTTTCCGGCAAGCAATATACAAGAGGGTGTTCTTGCCCTTCCCAATTGGCGATTTCCGGTGCGTAAGCCCATTCAACATGGAGGTTGAATCGGCATGCGGCGTAGTTGTAGGAAAACCCGGTGTCGGAGCCACCAATCGTTGCAGGAGAAGAGGTGCCCTAAATTAAAAATGAGGGTGAGAAGGTGTTGAGGGTTACGAGATTTATGATGAATTTGGATTGGCCGTTGGGAATTGTGATCTGCTGAGAGTTTTGCATCACAAAGAGAATAAGGGTGGGGGAAATTCTTTGACATGTTGTTGCTAGCTTATAGTCTTTCTTAGCTTGGAGGTTCTTAATCAAACGGTTCTGGAATATGTGTACACAAATGTGATAAATAATGGATTCTATGTAGTTCTTTATGTTTTCGGTGGTTGTGAGTAATATTTGCTGATAAGTACAAGAGATTTTTATTTCCCTGTTATTTATTATTATGTAATATATAAACTAATAAATGTCGATGGACTTACTGAGTTTGTGTATTAACCAACTAGTTAAACATAATTGTCCATGCATAAGATTCTTTAATTAAAGAAAATTGTCCATGCTTAAGATTCTTGAGAGTTTAGAATTTTGACATCCATTAGTTGCACCCTTTTTTTCCCACTTCCTATAAAATATGATTAATATAGTTATTTTACTAAAAAAGAATATATTAATCAAGACTAAAAGGATAAAAATTAGACATATAAATTCTATTTGTCTCCTTTTCCCATAAAATAAAGACCTATCTTTACTTTTCGGGTATGTCATGACAATGTATTTAATTATTATATGAATAGTACATATACAATCATGCAGCATAAATGAATGAAGTTTGAGATAATTTTTTAATTCCTTGCAATAAGTACACATTTTATCAATATACCTCATTCCCTTCTAGCCATATATATGGTAATATATATATATATAATAATAATTCTTTCATAGTTTTTTAATCAACATTATTATACCCATTTAGGCAGTGTGGAAACGGTAATATATTAATATAAGAAACATAACGAATGAAGAACTGGTGGGGGACGGGCTTCGGGGACTCCATCTACACAAGCAGTGTGAAAATGGTAAGAGAAAATTATAAATTCCTCTTGAAATATCTGATTTACTAAAAATACATCTTTTAAAAAACTCTGTTAATTGACGAGTTCTAGTCTTAAAAAATAGAAAAATATGAACTAATGTTAAGGGATATAAATAAAACGGACTGCATTTTGAAAAGTATTCTTAAAAATTGCCCAAATAGTAATATATTAATTAACATATCTTCTTTATTATGAACGAGTACAAATATCAAAAGTTCATTATAATACTGAAGTATTTGTTTTTTTAATAGAATAACAAATTATATTGATCTCAATCAAATGCGTTATTATTAAAATAACAAAATCTTACATCATTGAAAAAAAGTAGATTTTTAGCATAACTGTCACCTAAACTTATCGTAATTTAGCAAATTATCCCCATATTTTTAATTTTGACAAGTTGCTTTATCACCATATAAAATTGTTGCAATAGTTGCTCATTCTCCTCCAAAAAGTCTTGGGTTCGAGTCTGTACTAATCGGTAAATGAGGTATATGGGCAACTCACTTTGTGATTGATTCATATACCATGCAAGAATGCATTTAATGCTTGGAGTTATCTAGTAAATCCCCTTAACCTTTTTTCTTCAACAAAAAGAAAGAAGTCATCAGTTGCTAATTGTTTGGTTGAAACAAAATGCAAATTATTTTCGGTGTCTCCAACTATTTATAAAGCTACTAACTTGGTTTAAATTGGGCTCTTTAAAAGCATTTATGTTATAAAATCAGTCTGTCTTCATAGAAGCTATGATATTTTCTGACTTGATAGTAGAAGGGAACTCATAATTTATGAAATAGACTGTACAACTCGCAATATTCGTTTCGAATAAACAACTCACATCAAATCATGCGCGGAAGAGAGCTGTGATTTGCACGTTTTCCCTGCATTACTTACAACTGCATCTCTATTATTCTCAAGCGACAATTATAACATTAATTAGTCTCTCCAATGTGGGACTAACTCGGACAAATGCTGCTTAATTTGTACCAACAAAAACGAGTGGAATTTCACGGCTTGTAGACTCATCTAGCATTAGCTCCGATTCAGATTTGTCAATATCTGTTCTACTGTAATATGCAGGTCTTTGCGGTGGTGATAGCGGGATTGAGGAATTATTAAGCATGAGAACTATTGTTGCCGTTTTTGGTCTGACTTCGGGATCTCCCTGTACACAAAGCAATCCAATATGGACACACCTGGCCACTTCAATTTCTGAGTAAGAAGAAGCTATAAGTTTTTGATCTAGCAACTTCCAAGGCGTTCCATCCTTCCAAAGCTTCCAAGCCTACAAAGAAATTGAATATCAACCCCTAATGAATATACGAATTACGGATAGGAGATTCGAACTTAGGACCATAAATTAAGTCTGTGATGACACTTGAGCATGTTTAGCAAAAGGAAAAAGTGGAAAGTGGTGGAAGGATTTTGAGACCTATGATTGGTTGGGCAGAGAAAGGAGAGTAGGAAATGGATTGGAAGAGGGATTTCAAATCCTCCAAAGAACTCAAACTTTAATTTCTGGACAGATTAGAAGAGTAAATCCATACTAAACACAATTTTTTCTCTCTAATTCTTTTCTTGGTTATATGCCATTACTATTTTCTTTCCTTTCTTAAGTTGTTGAAATGAGAAGAAGAAAAGATTTTAAATTATATGTTATAACATTGATACTAACATAGCTCAAGAAATCCTCCGCGTCATGATGTGATTGATGGAAATTGGTGTTCCTTTCGCCACTAATTATCTCCAATATTATGACGCCAAAACTATACACATCAGACTTGAGAGAAAGCCGCCCATGCAGCGCGTATTCTGGAGACATATAACCTCTGCAGATTGAAATTGCACATCAAGATCATCACAAATTCAACTTTACTCCAAGTAAGAAGAATGAGCTATATCATATAGGAGGTATTACATGCTTTTGAGAATGGTCATTGAACTTACAATGTGCCAGCAACTCTACTTGTATCTGCACGAGTTTGGTCAACTTCAAAGAGTCTAGCTAAACCAAAGTCAGAAATTTTGGGTTCGTAATCAGCATCTAACAATATATTGCCAGGTTTGAGATCGCGATGTATGATTTTGAGTCGAGAATCCTCATGGAGATACAAAATTCCTTTAGCAATTCCTACTATTATCTTGTGACGCGTTGACCAATTTAGATCGCCTTGTTTTCTTGGGTCTGAAAATTAAAGTTGAGAGAAAAATGTTCAAGACAGAAATAACAACATCAGTAAATTTAGTAATTGATCTAATCCAATGTGAAGAAGGCCAATGGTACTTTATTTTTTTTTATCAATTCACGATGAAAACGAAATACCGTATATAAAGTAGTCCAGGCTCTTGTTGGGCACAAATTCATAGACAAGTAATTTCTCTTCCCCTGCCAAGCAAAATCCCAAAAGCCTTACAAGGTTTTTGTGCTGGAGCTTGGCTAGCAAAACAACTTCATTCTTAAACTCATCTACTCCTTTTTCGGCCGAACTTCTCAGTAGCCTCTTAACAGCTATTTCTTGTCCATTCGATAGTATGCCCTGAAAACGAATGATTTTAACTTATTTAAGAATTCTTCTGAAGATTGCAAGTGATACCAAGAAATCCATATATGCAGTTTCAGTATTCAAGTGGCCTACTAATTATTTATTTTTTAATTACCTTGTAAACGTCACCAAATCCTCCTTGACCTAACTTGTTATTTAGGGAGAAGTTGTTCGTGGCAGCTTCAATTGTAGCAAAGTCACATTGCAAAGACTCTATAGTTATAATGTCAACAGCTACACAACCAAAAGATACATAAAACGTGTTAATGCTAGTTGTTAAGTGCGGCACAAATACGTGCACAACAAATGAAAGATAACTTAATTTTGATTTCTCTTTCTTTTTCCCTTTTTCTTTCCTTCTTTCTTTCGAGAGTGCTTAATTATGTTCATATTACCATTGTCTTCGTTCATGAACTTGTACTTGTTTTTTGCTCTTCGGATTGCAAAACAGTAGCAGCCCAAGATAAGAAATAGCACAGCAATAGCAGCCGTTGGGACAACAATGGCCACAATTTTTAGTGTTGAACTTTTACTTTTTTCTGCAAAAGTAGAGATGGAAAATGGTAAAAACATAAAATCTAAAAATCCACAATTCTATTCCGCGTTGCACCACTACTCATAATGAGGTGGATCTAAAAGGATGGTTTTTCTTTTAAATAGAAATATCCTTTAAGTCTAAAACATAATTAAAGAAAAACAGAGAGAAACTCAATACATTTAAAATTCAATTAAGAAGACGATACGTGTCTTATCTATTCTTTAAAGTTGACTTTACCTTGTGGAATAATCTGAGGAGGACTAGGAGTTGGCGCAACAATTTGGTTGTAAAACCGGGACTTGTCATAACTAAGATAACAACTGGGATAAAGATAAGTCACCCTGTCCTCCCCACTGCAGCAGTTAGGAAGCTCAGCTATGGCGGTATCCAGACACCGCCGGCAATCCATACTTGAAAGGTCTGGCGTACACTCCACGAGGCTATAAACCGTGCGAAACTCGCTGAAATTTGCTTCCTTCGCCGCAAACTTCTTCTCCCCTGGCCCGCCAGCCGCCGCCGCCGCCGTCGCAGCCTCCTTCACAGTCTTCGCCACTATCTCGTTGAAGCGGTCGGAATCACTGACGGGATTGGAGTTCTCCACGAAGTAGTCGTTGGGGTATTCGTCCATGACCCCAAAGAAGGAGCGGTTGGCGTACCGCAGCATGCACTCTTCGTTCCATATGATGGCCTCTTTCTGCCGAGGGCACTTCTTGGGGACCTCCTCCGCAGCCGCGGCGACACAGGCTTGACAGACGCTGGCGTCGTCGATGTCGCCGCGGCAGAGGAAGAGGCCGTAGACAGCGTCACTGGTGGCGGCGGCAACGGTGGTATTGTAGAAGAAGTGGGTTGTGGCGTTGGAGGAGAGAGAAGACAAAAGGAGATTGAGGTTGGATTGGTAAAGGGAGTTTTTAGTAAAGTTTCCTGTGGTTGAGCATGTACTGTGGACGTATGTAGGGGCAGCTTCGATGTGAAGAATGCCAAGAGAGCTGAGGAAAGTGACAAGTATTATACAAGGCATTTCGAACAGATTAAGGTTTTTTTTTTTTCCTTTTCTTTTCTTTTCTTCTATTTTCTTTCTCTGGGTTTGGGAAGAAGAGCAGTAACGGATGGTAATTAATTAAGGTATAGGCAAGTTCGTGGAAGGGCGTTGGTTGAGTACATGGGACGACCACATCATGGGAGAAACGCGGTCAAGCGAGAAATTTCCTGGTTGTCACATCTTTGAGTTGTTGAAAATTTGGAAAATGAAATGTTGGTATTGCACGAAAAAAAATCTTGTTTATACTCATTTCCCTTATAAATATATAAATAAATAAATAAATAATGATACAGACATAGAGATGAGAAATGCAGTACAACCTTATTAGTAGTTACATTTATATATAAATGAGTGTGTGTATATATATACATATATAGGTATATATGTAAATACACACGTATATACATAGGCATATATATGCATATATAGGTATATATATGTATATATATGTGGATATATATACTATTCAATATTGTAGTTGTAGACACAAAGTGACAAAAGAATAGAATAATGCAGGCGTGCAGGCTTCTAATAGGTTTACCTGTATAAACTAATTTTCCTTGTTGTCACATCTTTGACTTGTTGAAAAATTGGAAAATGAAATGTTGTTATTGCACGAAAAATATCTTTTTTTTTATACTCATTTCCCTTATAAAATGATATATATATATATATATATATATATAAATATATCAGGGATATATATAAGGGCATATTTCACGCCTTCTAAGTGCATAATTTGTTTTTTAACATACTAGCTCGTTGTTCGGCATAGTTATTAGGGTAATTAGCACATATGGCCTCCAGATAGTTTAGTCCTGATTTTTTATTTTTTATTTTGATAGACAGTTTCTAAACTCTTTAGGTAGGTGTAATTAATACTTTTTCGTCAAATTCTATTATTAATATTGTAATGATAAATGAAGAGACTAATAGTAATTAAATGCTAAAATTTAGTCATGAAAAAAAAATGTAGCATATTCTATACACTATTTGACATGAACACGCTTTCAAGCTTTGTTAGGTAAGAACCAAAGAAAATGACATGAATTTCAAGCTTTAGGTGAGAACGAAAGAAAATGAAAAGGAAAGAAATATCTTTGAGAGAATAAGTTTCATTAGCAGCTAATAAAACATTTCCCTCAAAAGTTTTTTTTTTTTTTAAATTTTATTTTATTTTTGGTTGGGGTGCGGGGGGGTGTTGTCTTTCTTTTTCTCATCTTTTTTCTCGTTCTAGCTTTTTTCTTCCAATTTTTTTTTTTCTGAGAATAGCTTTTTATTTTTATTTTTACTGTCCCTGTCCTTTTTTTCTTTTGATTTGCCCTATTATATATATATATATATATATGTGTGTGTGTGTTTTTTCTACTTCAAATAAGATCCTAATAAATATGTTTTTTTATTTTTACTTCCAGAATCTCACACGCGCGTGTAGTTTATATATATATATATATATATATATTTTTTTTTATATATATATATATATATTTTGTATAAGATCCTAATAAATATGTTTTTTATTTTTACGTACTTACAGGATCTCACACTCATATGTATGCGGTTTCAATAATATAAATAATAAAAGTTTCCCTCAATTTTTTTTTAATTTTAATTTTGTTTTTTGTTGAAGGGTGGGGGTGTTGTCTTTCTTTTTCTCATATTTTTTTTCTCGTTCTCGCTTTTTTCTTCCAATATTTCTTTTTATGAGAATAGCTTTTTATTTTATTTTTTACTTTCCTTGTCCTTTTTTCTTTTTTTTTCTTTCCATTTGCCTTATTATATATATTTTTTCTTCTTCAAATAAGATCCTAATAAATATGTTTTGCATTTTTACTTACAGAATCTCACACGCATATTCGTACGGTTTATATATATATAAATAATTTGAAGTTATTTTAATAATTATTTCAATATTTATCTATGAGGCTGTTGGGACTGCAACTGATTTCTGCTAGGACAGTTCCTCCTTAAGTGTCCGGACTGTTCACAGTTATGACAAGTGTACCTGTAGGGTCTATTTCCTCCTCTTCCTGAGGAACCACTACTCCTACTTGTCGCTTCACCACTGGTTTACCTTTGATTGCGGTTCCTTCTTGGATTCCGCTGAGGTCCTCCTGAAGCTCTATTCATGGCTTCTCTAGTTTGGAGATAGGCCAAGTTATCTTGCTTAACAGATATCGCTGAAGCCACCAAGTCTCGATAGACACGAATTCTAAGGGCTACCAACAATTTTCGGACATTGCTTTTGAGACCCTTTTCAAATTTGAGACACTTCATGTGCTCAGATTCGACCAAGGTTGGTGCGAATCGGGATAGGTCATTGAACTTACCTTTATACTCCCTCATGGTCATATCTCCTTGTTCTAACCCCATAAATTCCATTGCTTTCTCATCGCGGAAGCTTTGAGGAAAGTACCGTTCATTGAAAAGCTCTTCAACAGTTCCCACGTCATGGTGCTCACATAATGCAGTCTTCTAGTCTGCTTCCACCAAGTACTTGCTTGCCCTTCAAACTTGTAGGCTACAAACTCTACCAAGTACTCTTCAGGTACTTCCATTGTGTTAAGTGCTTGGTGATGGATTCAAACCAATACTTTGCTTCCGGTAGTCCATCCTCACTATTGAATGTAGGGATTGACCTATGTCTGAACTCTCAGAAATACCCCTGCTTCCTGTCCCTAGCTAAACGGTAATTATTGGCTCGAGTAGCCATTTCCTAAAATGCGGCATACATCGCCTCCATGATTCCCTCGTTCAGTATGGCCGCGGATTAGCGACTCTGCAACATGGCATTAAATCAAAGCTTGCTTGAGGGCCTCTGACCTAGGTTGGGAAAAGCCCTATATATTAGTAAAGCCTCAACTTATTTCAAAAGAAAGCACTAACGAGCAAGAAAACGGACCCCCTGACATGTTCGTTTACTTCGTTCGTGGTCCACGCCGGGAACCACTTACTTAAGATTTAATCCAATCATACCTTACCGGAGGTGAGATAGAGGGAAAAGAAGCCCTCATAGTATTGCATACACAAATCTACGGGAGCCCGTAGGGCGGGGCTTCAGTTTACCTTCTAACCATTAAATTTCACTCTATGCTCACTAATAGGAAATTGAAGCTATTTAAAGTTACAGATTCTTTATGGTCTAAATTACATAGGATGACAAGTGAACGCTCACATAGTACCCAGTTACTGAGAGTTTCAGAACGTTGTCTCTGACATTACTCCCATTCCTTGGGATCAATCCCGGTAATAAATACTTGGCTACAAGACGACACTAGTTGGTCTGTAAATTTGAAAAGATGAGGTCCTTACGTAACTAAGGATTAGGGAGAGAAACTCCTATTTTCCGTTTGATCGCTAAAGTAACTAAAGGACGAGGAGTGGTGACCCTCTACTGGCCTTTAGTTACTTAGCTGCTATACTTGACCAACGTCAGCTCGATACGGTAAGATTAAGGCTTGGTTGGATAATTCATTTCTGTTGAAACAAGGCGGGCCGTTGGTAGAAGGAAGGTCGTCCCTTTACTCCATTCCTTCGAAATGGCAGGACAAGGAGGATGGTAAAGTCGTAAATCTCTATTAGGAAACAAGAAAAACAAAGAAAACAAAACACTTTACTTTTTTAAGGTCGGCCTTTACCCCATTCCTTCGGGAATGGGGGGTTGTTGGTAGAAGGAAGGTCGTCCCTTTACTCCATTCCTTTAGAATGGCGGGATGAGGAGGATGGTAAAGTCGTCCCTTTACTTTATTCTTTCAGAATGACAGGACGAGAAGATGGGGAAGGGGTTTGGGGAACGGAAAGGGTAACCCCTTCCCCTCCTTTAACCATGCCATATGGTCAATACATATAGCATTCAAGTCTACCAATGTTTGGGTACTACTTAAAAAAGAACAACTCAAGCTTATATTCCATGAAAATGCTCATACAATTAAGATGTACTTTACAGTACAGTATAGACAATCCTTTTGTTACTACTCTTTCTATAGCTCCTTCTTATATTATACGTTAGGTACGAGGGCTTCCTCTCACTCTATCTCGCCACTCGGAATGTATAGTTGTTTGAAATGGCATGTGTTAAGCATGACATTTCAAACAATGACTATACATTCTTTCTTTCCGGTATGGAGCCGACGTCGGTCAAGTATAACGTGTCAAGTTAATAGAGGTTTAACTCTTTATCCAACTCGACGACCAGGTTCATCTGATCAATCAGGGTCATCTTGTCTTCAAGCCGTGGCTTCTGCTATTATGCCGAGGTATAATATTAACGATTCTAGATATAGGGTTGCCGGCCATTAAGTAGAAACTAGGTACGTCTTAAAGTTTCTCTGATCACTTATGATATTTCGAGGAATGAACAAGATTTCAGTTATAAGTGAGTGATTCACGAGTGTGAAACACGAACGAGGGAAAACCAGTATAACAATATATGGGGTGTAACCAAGGGGTTCAGGGGGATGTGCCCCCTGACACCTTAATTGGAGATAAAAAGAAAAAGAAAACTAGCAAGTAAAGTGATTCACGGGTGTGAAGCACGAATGAATAGGAAGGAAATAGGCGACCATCCCACCATTCCTTTCCAAGGAATGGAGTAAAAGGACGACCATAGAGGATGTTCGGGGGAGGGGGAGGGTTCCCCTCCCTTATCGTCCCGCCATTCTGAAGGAATGGAGTAAAAGGCCGACCTAACGTTACCTTTCGTCCAATCATTCTGAAGAATGAAGTAAAGGAACGACTTTACCATCCTCCTCGTCCTGCCATTCTGAAGGAATGGAGTAAAGGGACGACCTTCCTTCTACCAATAGCCCGCCTTGTTTCAACAGAAATGAATTATCCAACCAAACCTTAATCTTACCATATAGAGCCGACATCAGTCAAGTGTAGCAGCTAAGTAACTAAAGGCCAATAAAGAGTCACCACTCCTCGTCCTTTAATTACTCTAGCAATCAAACGGAAAATAAGAGTTTCTCTCCCCAATCTTTAGTTACGTATCCTCATCTTTTTCGATTTACAGACCAACCAGTGCCGTCTGGTACTCAAGTAGTTATTACCGGGATTAATCCCAAAGAATGAGAGTAAT